TACATGAAAATAGCTAAAATGATCCCTTAAAGTAACTTCAACCAACAGCCGGAAAAATAATTTCAACCTTGCTTTTTCTTATTATTACACAATACAACGCACGTAATCCAAAGTTACGTGTTTGAAGAAAAAGTTCACTAGTTAACTGATAAGTCTGATTAGTCAAAAAACAAGATCACTAAATGAACTCTAATTTAACTACTTAAAATCACAATCACTTATCATTTTTATATTTGACTATCAAAACGACATTTTTCTAATAATATTAACTATTTTAATAAGTCATCAACTAAAATAAATAAATAAGATGTAAGACTTCTTCACTAATCACTAACTTTAAATTAGAGTTATGGAAGTGATGGGAACTTTAGATTTTCAAAAACATAACATCAAACAGTTACAAACAAACAATTAAAAATCCTAATATATTGAATCTCAGTATCTCACTAATAAATTAGCAACACACTCGTTGCTCTTCCTACCTCAGCACATGGGTTTTGACATCTTGATTTCAGATTTTATCATTTTAGATGAGCTAGGAGGCTGCTTTATTGGGGGCAACGATGATATTTGATTGGGGGCAATACATGGTTTTTTTTGTATATTCTAATGCATTACATGGACTTAGTGGGATTGTATTGGGGGCAGCTGCCCCCTCTCGTTCCTGGATAGATCCGCCCCTGGGACTATCATGTTTTATATTCCCTGAAGAGAAGTAAATTTCTGCCAAGTTTGGCATTACTAGGCTTTAAACATGACATTTTTTCCAAACTTGGCAGATTACTCCTATTCAAGAAATAAAAAACATGATAGTCCTATTTTGGAATATCAAAACGTTTTTAATCCTATTTAGGGAAATTTCTGATTCGGTAATTCATTAGTAACTCCACTAAGATGGGATAATTTTCACCTTTTTTTTTCAAGTGAAATCCGATTAGGCTTCACAACATTCCAGTTAAGACCACAACAATTGTTAAGGTGAGTTGTTTAATTTTTACAATTTTATCGTTGCAATTGATTGTCATATGTGGAAATGTGGAATTGTTGATTGTGATTTTTCTTTGTAAATTTGTTGTATGAATTTATACTTAAAGTTTTTGTTGTTAGAGTTATTCTGAAATTTGATCTTTATAAGTTATATTTACAAACGAATAATTATAATATAAATAATTAGTGCTAGGTTATTATTTCGCAGTTTTGCTATGATGGGGTCATGGGAAACGGAAGCACCTGTGGCTTTTAAGAGAAAATTTAAGAAAATAATGAAATCGTACATTACAATCTTTTGCGAGTTTATGGATAGGAATGTAAAAATATTTCTCCTTTGATATAGAATAGGAATTTAGACGAAGCACTCGACTTCAAGCTAAAAACGGGATCAAGGCTTAGATTTACCTTGGAATATTGCGATAGGAAAGATTTGTCATGTTTGTTTTTGGAAGGGTGACTTTGGCTTATTTATTTGGAATTGTTGAAGACCTTGACTATCGGATTCTATATTTGGCAGGAGGAGGGCTTCTTTTGAGCGTGGATCATTAGTGTGTTATTTTAATAACTTTATGTTATTTCTTTAAATTTCTACCTTCATTAGCGGTTATACTCTTTTCTCTATTTTAATTAAAAAAAATTGCTACAAAATACCATGATGATGATGATATACTTGCGTGAATTGCTTTTACTAGTTAAGGACCACAAAAGATCTTCTCGAGGTACCTATCATATGTCTTCTCTAAGTCAATGAACACCAAATGTAGATCCTTGTTAGTGTCTCTATATTTCTTCACAAGTTGTCAATGAAGGTGGCCACAAGTAGTTAGTGGCCTCAGTTGTTGAGCGACCATACATAAAACTGAATTGATTCTCTAAAATCTTCACATTTCTTCAGATTCTTTGCTCAATCACTCGCTCCCAAATAAGTTTCATGGTGTGACTCACGAGCTTAATCCCTCGATAGTTGGCACATTTGTGTATGTCACCCTTATTCTTAATTAAGGGAATAAGAGTACTCTTCCACCAACTCGCTGGCATTTTGTTGTTTCTCCCAAACTTATTGACAAGACTTGTTAATCACTCGAGCATCTCTCTCCCAAACTTCTCCAGACCTCGATTGGTATGCCATTTGGACCCACTGCTTTCTTTTGACCCATCTTCCGCATAGTCTCTTTAACTTCTGTCGTTTGAATCCTTTTCAAAAAAATCCGATTTACCATACAATCTAGTATTATCATATCACCAATATTTATCGCTTTATTCCCGATGAATAATGTATCAAAGTATGACCTTCTCCTCTCCTTTATTTCTCCGTCCTCCATTAGTATTCATTTATCAACATCCTTCACACACTTAACTTTTATGATATCTTGGGCCCTACTATCATGAAGACGAGCAAGTCTATAAATATCTTTTTCTCTTTCCTTAAAGTCCAACTTTTCATACAACTCCTTGTTCACTTTTCCTCGTGCTTATTTTACGGCTTCATTTGCTTGTCTTTTAGCTTCCTTTTATGCTTCTATATTCTCATCATTCCAACTTGTTTCCAACTTTTTGTTGCAATCCATGTTATTCCTTATGGCTTGTTTCACCTCATCATTTCACCAAGATGTGTCCTCTTTTGGTGACAGACATCTTTCTATTTAGATTCTCCAAGTACCTCCTTTGCCACTTTGACATAATAATGCCTACTTCGTTTATGATCTTCTTTCTGCTTGAATACCACAACTTAAAACCTTTGTGATTAATCTCACGTGTTTTCTCTCCAACCTACTTAGCTTCTTGCACGCACATGATGCTGATATTTCTTCTCCTCATAACTTCAACTACCTCGGAAGATCGTCCTGTAAGAGACCAACATTCCATGTCTCAAAACGCAGTCTAGCACTCCGCTTTCTGTTCTTAACTCCACCTCGGATCCAACTATGTCCTTGTATATTTGATATCATCCCTGGGCAATGGGATGACGCACCACTTCCGAACGACGATCTAGCAACTTTATCATTCTTATCACCACACTCAGGCCTATGAAGTGTAGTGCGCTCTTGCATATTTGGCACCAACATTAGGCAGAGGGATGACGTGTCGCTTACAGGCGATAACCTAGTTGTGGTGATATTCATATTTCGATTCATGTCATGTGATGTGATTAAGTGATATTGTTGGCTATCACGCGCATACCACAACACCTTCATTCTTTATCATGTATTGGGACATGCATGATTCCAAAAATGATCTCATGGCGGAGTTGATTATTAATCTCATATAATTTTCCACAAAATAGTTGAAATTTAAAAAACATATTCATTCCCTCAAGAACTAGTGAACCTTATCCCAAATTTGAACCCTAGATGGAGTAAGATATTCTTACTTAACTGTAACATCAAAATACTATTCATAAGCATGATAAGGGGCTAGAAAACGGAAGTCGAATGGTTTCCTTTTCTCCACAAACATTGAGTACTTAATGAACAATATTAGTTAAAAAAGACAAACATATTAGTTAATGAAAAATATTAGTTAATGAACAATATTAGTTAATGAAATTATTAGTTGAAGACAAACAAATTTAGAACTCTCCAAAGTTAAGAACTAATAATGTAAAATATGCTGAAACTTATGACTTTGAATCTAAATGTTATTGAAACAAATTGAGGTGAAGTTTAGGAGCCTTAGCTCTACCACCTTGTTTGATGTTGCATTTATTCCAGAAGAAAGAAAAGTAAATCTCTGCTTGGTCTTCTTGTTTTATGTTGCGATTGTTTTCGGAAGAAAAGAATGAAAACGTAACCTAATACGGGATACAGTTGCTCCCCAAAGAAAGCAAGAAAGATAAACACAACTGTCATTTCTTCATTATCTAGCTCCCACTCACCGCTAAGTCCATTCAGCCACCCCTTGATTTTATTACGAGTACACTTCAAGTGTAATTATTTATGTAACATGGAGCATATGCTTTAAGTCAACCCACTTTAAATTATGACTGAACTAAAATATGAATGGTACTTAAGAAAGCTTCCATGAACCTTATATTAAGATTTGTGTCCTCTATGTAGACCAAAGTGGGCTCATATGAGACTCAAATGTAGAAAACAACGCATTGCAGAACAAAATTTTACGAGTAAGAGAGGTAACATGAATGCATGAAGAGTTGACAACTAAGATGAAGAACAATCATGGTAGGCAGACCGATGTTACATTCTCGAATTACAAAAACCAGAGAAGCTAGATGAAAGCTCAAAACAAAAGCAAAGATAAATATGAATATGTAAATACAGACCCATGGTTTCAAAGATCTACAACACTATGTTGCAAGAGTAATTGCATAAATAGTGCAGGCCAACGATATGATATTTATAAAAGAACTAGTGGTATATGCTTTTTAGGTCGTGATGATTCAAGTTTAATTTGTCTCATCATTAAGAATCTGATTTGTCAAGATAAATGAAGTGGCTAAATGAAAGACCAGTGTGTTTCTTGGCATATATAGTTATATACCATGGACATCTTATGTTGAAGATACTGTTGCCTTTTGCATATTAATCACTTAAAGGATAGATGTTAGTCATGCTATGTACGTAGTTAAGAAAGCAACACATGTATTACCAACACATAGTGAAGCCCTCACATTTCTCTCTCTTTGTCTCACATATCGGTTCACAATATATATACTTCTTCAAAACATTAAAAGTATTATAACAAAATATATATTTGATTTTTTTGAAAGGAATATATTTGATATATTAAGAAGAAAGTTTTCTTTGTTCTTTTTTCACCCCAAATTAAGAGTCGTATTTTTACCTCAAGAGACAAATTATGTGGTTTATATCACATACACATATATCTTAAACGTAAAATTTAATTACTACCTCCGTCCCTTTTATATTGAGACGGAAGATGGTGGCATGAGTTTTAAGAAAAGTGGGTCTGTGTGGTTGATATTAATTGATAAAGTAAGAATAAAGTAACAATGATTTTGAGCCACACAAACTTTACCAAATATGGTATGAGACAATTTAAGTGGGACTTCCCGAAATGGTAAAACGGAACAATATAAATGGGACGGAGGGAGTATGTAGCATATGGAAAACAATATGCTAGTATAGATGGAGTATACATAACTCTTGAAATAAAACATGCCAACAATTTATTACATATGCTCTATATTCGAGCTTATGTAATATTACATGTCGCCAAAAGGCAATATTTCTAAAATTAGCAATCATTCGTGTACGAAGTCTATTTAAAATAAAAAAATAGTATTTGTGCATGCGTTTTATGTTAAGATTCATATGTGATCCTATTCTTTAGATTCAAGAATCTCACGGATTACCAAAACTTTCACCCGATTAATTGTGAAAAGGCACAAGTAGACATGTTGTTGGAGCTCTTCAACTTGTTTCTCAAAACCATAATTGTTGTTCTTCAATGCCTTCAATACCATTTGGAGAGAAAAATTATCTTCCCTCTTCTTCATACACAACTTTATCATCCCCTTATTATGTTCAATTTCATCATGCACTCGCCACACGAGCCTACTCATAATCTCCAAATCTCTCTTCACTATATAACTCCCCTTTGTGGCTAACTCCACTTTCCTCGACCACCACTTATTTTTATTATTACCACCACACCCCAAGTGTTGTTGCTTTTGTAACATGGAGGAATGTTCATCGTGAACCCATGTAAATTTAGGGTTATCGAAAAACGGGGGTTCGAAAAGCAAACTCAACGAGCGGAGCTCTGATACGATGTCATTCGAGCTCAGTCGTTCGTCAATAAGGACTTTTTGGATATGTCTGTAGTCGGACCGGACATGGTTGATGCGCTTGAGAAGACTGTCACATAGGGTGGCGGCTTCAGTGCTGATTTCGAAATAACCATTCAAAAGAGATTTTAGATGTCGATCGTGGGAATAGCTTTTCCCCGGAGTATATATGGAATCAAGAATTGTTGCTATATTTTTTTTGTGGGGTTCAAAGAGAAGAGACCATGGGTGGAGCTGCCGAGCCTCTGTGGATAGTCGAGCATACTCATCATCCACATTAAGGGGTTTAGCATCTGTATCAATTTAAAAATAGCATATGTACAAAGAGTTATTAGACTTGAATACAATTGTTAATAATGAGTATAATATAGCTACTTATAGTGAACATTCTTTTATTAAAATAGTATTTATTTGGGTGTGGATAAATCAATGAAAAACCTCACTAGCTCCAATGATACTTCCTCCCTAAAAAAATTACATTACTTTTTTGGACAACTATTTTACTCTCTAATTGTGAGTGCTAGACAATTATTTTACTCGAATTTGATTTTGCTTTTGCGATTCAATAGACCGTTTAATATAATTATAAAATACGGAGTATGTAAATTCTTAAGTATATGTGAATTCTAGTAGGGATTTTTAACTTTATTTTCAATCAAGCATTAAAAACCGTAATTGCGCGCGAATCAATTGAAACGTGGGGTGTTTTTTTGGTAAAATCATAGGCGCATCGGCGCATATCTTTCATTCACAATTAAGTGAGACTGATAAATCCCAAACAAATCATACAAAATGTGTATCGACAAAGTATGATCATCAATGGATACATGTGATATTTCATATTTGTCTATTGATGATACAAATAATTGTGGCTATATTCTATGTTGTAAAAACCGGACCGGAGAGTGACCGGGCCACATGACTGGGTCACGGGTCAACCCGGACCCGGTGGGTCAACCCGGTCAACGCCGGAAAACCGGTCAATGATTATATGTCTATATAATAATAGTAAACATATAATTATATATAAAATTATAATAAAAATTAGTTATTATTCATAATAATCAACTAACAATACTACTTACTATGTATTAAGCATTTAATACACTCTTACAATATTTCGATGCATATTTTGATCTTATAAAAATATATAATGATATTTTTATTTTTATTGTATATCTATATAATAATTTGGCATGATGTTCATTATTAAATAAATATGTAAATATATTACGTAGTTTTTCTTTTTAAGGTATTGAAATTGCAATTTTATTGGTATAAAAAATGCATTAAAAATAAAAAAGAAATTACTTTTTTTGGTAAAAACACCCAAAAACTGGGTTTTACCGGGTTTTTCGGGTTTCTGGGGTCCGGGTCTTGACCGGGTTTTCCCGGGTCAGCCGAGTTTTTCCGGTTTTTGACCATTTCCGGGTTTTGAAAAAACCAAACCGGTTTTTTTGTCCGGGTCACCGGGTTCCGGGTCAACCCGGCCGGGTCGGGTCGGTTTTTTAAACATAGGTTATATTTGGGCCATTTGGCCAAACCCAAAACCTCAAAATCTAGTAGGTATTATTGTAATATTATTGTATGCATCAAATATAACATGATCACAGATCAACCTAGTCAACATCGGAAAAGGGTCAACATTTATAAAACTTCATAATAATAAAAATAAATTATATATAAAATTAAAATGAAATATAATTATTCTTCATGATAATTAAATAAGGATAATACTTAGTAAGCATTGAAAACACTCTCATAATATTTCAAATATAATATAAGCCGTATTATAATTAATAATGTTATTTTTTATGTTGTACATGTAGATTTACAATATCATTTGACTTTAGTTTCATTCTTAAATATTTATAAAAACATGTTACGTACATACTTTTCCGTTTTATGATATTGGGATTGTAATTCTTCTATAATAAAAATGCTTATATTACAACAAAAAAATTAACATTTTTGAATAACCCACCCAAACTGATTTTTCGGTACGGGTCCAGATTGGGTTTTTATGCGTTGATCGGGTTTTCCGTGCTTGGCCCATTATCGAGCGAGATTAGCAATAACTAAACAAACTTTTTCATCCGGGCTGACCCGTCCAACCAATCCAGTCCAGTTTTTTGGACATAGTACTATAAAGCATTATATAATACACGCACGGAAACACGAACTAGTGTAGTCAAGGGAGGAAATTGCGGTGAGCCTGATTAGTTTTTTTGGGAGAAAGTTCGCGAAATAGGACTAAAACAGTTTAAAAATTCCTAAATAGAACTGACATGCTTTTTATTCCCAAAATAGGAGTAATTACTGCAAAGTTTGGAAAATACTGTCATGTTTGAAGTCTGGTATTGCCAAAACATGACAGTAATTAGTCCTATTTTGGTAATAAAAATATGTAAGTCATATTTTGGAATTTTCAAACCTTTTAGTCCTATTTCGGGTAATATTCTCTTTTTTTCACAATAGTTTTTTAATTTTAAAATAACGATTTTTGCTAAAATTGGGATGGATGCCGCACTCCTGGCCCCTTCGATCGACTAGTCCATGCTAGATTGAATAACACAAGAGAGTTTGACGTATTTTTTAAATCACACAAAATTAATGCATTGAGTTTTACTTTTAAAAATAATGATTTTTGCTAAAATTGGGATGGGTGCCGCACACGTGGCCCCTTCGGCTACGTCCATACTAGGGTGCATAACACAAGAGAATTTGACGTATTTTTTAAATCAGATATAATTAATACTCTGAATTTATATTACACGAGGGAATTCGGTACATTAATCCCGAACAAAGTAACAAACCTTTTTTGATTGTCGACTTTGGACCTCTGAATCGTGCCCACATCTTAAAAGGTGTTCAGTTCTTGATGAATAATGATCAGTGAAGTCGAGGAATAAACACTAGCTGCTCGATCTTAATGAATTGAATATACTATAGATCGAAACAATAAGGATTGGAACTGAATTAAATGGGATATATATTACTAGTAGTTAGCAAGCTAAGGTTATTTGGAGTATATATTATATCTAGGATATATGTTGGCGGCCTATATATACATGAATATATGGATGGAGCAGTGCGGCGGCGTATATGGCAACCATTAGTTGCGTTGCTTTCATGAGAAGAATGTAATGATTTCATGGGATAACAGCCACGGCATAAGATGATGGAGTTCAATCATGAATTTCCTATAGCTTCTAAATCATCATTATTATTATAAAATTTCATCTTCGGTTGTATAATCTCCCCAAGACTCAATTAAGTTGGCTAATAATAAGGTTACAAGTTGCTATTTTCAAGCAACAAGACGTCAAGACCCACCACCATAGACTTAATTTATTTCACCATGTGACATGTTTTTTAATTGAGTAATTTTGATTGTACATGAAATTTGTACACATATTTATCATTTTATTGTACACATGTTTGTGTACACATGCAGACAATTGAAAAAAATTACTACGGGGTATATTTTTTAAATGAATTGTCTATAGGTAATACACCAATGAGAGATCGGTTATATACAAAAAAAAAGTACCGAGTACAATTTTTGTTTACAAATAGATTTTGTAAATTAATTGAAGAGCTGCTTCATAATGCTTTAAGACCCCAAAATTGAGAAGTAAATCTTGGATCCCTATTAGACGATAGACAATGGTACCCCGTGTAATCGAACTATTTCTTGAATGTAGAGTTCTGCCAACTTATTTAAGGAGAAATCTCTTCGGATAGAAATGAAATGTGCAGAATTGGTAAGGGGATCAACATATATGTTAGTTTAGCAAAATACCCTCATTAATACAAGGTCCGTGACCTAATCTACCTTTCAATGGATATATATTACGGAGTCCCTTCACCACATTTTATGTGTTCTATTTTTTTTTTTTAAAAGGGAAAGTAAAACAGATAAAATAATGTGGGGTAACATATTCGTGCAAAACCGTCTAGATAAGTCGTTTTCTCGGTATATAGGGGGTGTTTGGATCTGATTCTCAAAACTGATTCTGCTCCTTCAGGGAGCAGAAGCAGAAGCTGGAGTGTTTGTGTGAAATTCCAGAAGCACTTCTGGAGCTCTAATTTACTCTCAGAATCAGTTTTTTTAGAAGCTGGGAGGTACCAGCTTCTGGAAACTGATTCTGATTCTGCTTCTGCTTTTAAAAAAGAAGCAGAAGCAGAATCAGTTCCAAACACCCCATAACCAACATTTTTTTCGTAATAATGTGGGGTAACATATTCGTGCAAAACCGTCTAGATAAGTCGTTTTCTCGTATATAACCAACAATTTTTTCGTGACTAATACAAAGTATAACGGTAGCTAGCTAGTTTCTCTTTATCGCCTTGTAAGATCTGGAACAATGTCGCCGCCGATCATTTGATAATAATAGAAATAATCCGTTAAAGCCTTTTTGTCTCTCTTTATCGCCTTGTAAGTTGTATACTTGCATGTAATATACCGCCGTCATTGCCATATCATGTCACACGCTATATACTTCAATTCGTATGTATTAAGCTTATTGCAAATTTGTAAGAACACCTCAATAAATCCTTTATCGTTTTCACATTTGACTATCATTACCCGGCCCCTTTCTTTGATCGGCAAGCCCTGCTTTCTCCCTTACTTATCTTTCTTCTTTGTTAAAAATTGGAACCCATATCTTCCTCTGACTCTATAAGGATGTGTTTGCTAGTTGGATTTTGGAGGGTAGGAAAAGGTTGATGGGGTTTATGATCTCCTTTTTCATGTTTGACAGTTTTAAAATTTGGAGGGGTGGTTTTCAGGGGCGTCTTGTAGGTTTCGAAGGTCCTAGACATAAAAATATTTACTATGCACAAATCCTATTGGAAATGAGATAAAATTGAATAAAAAACCACTCGAAAAAAGCATATTTAAAGTGCATGATATATTGTTTGTAATATTCAAAAGGATAACTTTTTAAATGCAAATAAATGTATTATACATTGCAAACTTGTACTTGCAACACTCTATTGGCTTATATATTCTTCTTGCCTTTTGATGTGCAAAATCAATAATAACATCACTACAAACAAATCATTGAACACAAAAATCTAAAATACTCCCTCAGTATCTAATTAATTGATCTGTTTTCTTTTTTACGTAGTTTAAAATAATTACGGTAGATTATATGAAAAATAAGAGATTTTTTGTACTTTAGCAGTACTATGACTACTTTTTGAGTGAGTTTCTTTCCAAAAAGGGAATAAGACAATTCCTTTGATATTTCTCGAAAAAGAAATTGAGACAACTAAATAGATACGGAGGGAGTAGAATTACCAATTTAGGAATTGAATTCATGAATTGACCTCATTAATATTAATTTAGGAATTTTAAAGGGAGCTAGGCAGGAATTGCCTTTATTGCTTGAGTGCCACGTGTCTGCCACTTTATAGCTTTACTGCTTTAGGCCCTTATCTTTCATCTTTACATTTTACATCCATTAGACCATTTGTAGTGGTGGGGAGTCTAAATTGTTAAATTTGGACTCCGTCCATATGAAAACGGTGTTTAGACTCCGTCAATACTGTTTTTCCCCGCATCCGTGCGCTGTCAATAAAATACACTCTACATATTTTTTACATATCAATTTAGTAAAACATTAATTAAATTATTATAAAAAATATTTTCCTTTTAAGTTTTTGGCCTAGCTAATTATGAAATGAAAGATACGCATTTCGATGTAAAAATAAATAAATTTCACTAACTTTTTTAAACAGTTTTTGGTTAACAAAAAGGAACTTAGTTAAAATAAAATTCAATTATGGAATATTCAGTTATTATTTGTGAAGGCTTAATGAATTAAAAATTCGTGTTTCGTGCTTTTTTGGGTTCAAGAAAACTTCAACAGTTAAAATTTAATTTTTTTTCTTTTTATATATTACATATTGGTGTCATATGAAAGATCATAAAAAATCATGAATTTTGATATATTTTTTGAAGAATTTGGAGAAAAAATAAAAAAAGTTATAAGAGTTTAAAATTAAATGGGATTTTAATGATGTATGCATGACATCATCATGACGTCAGCAGAGTGCATTATCTACGCGCAGCAGCGGGCCCTTCTCTTCTTTTTTTCCTTTTTCCTTTTCTTTTCCCTGTCAACCCAACCCTCTATTTTTACACTCCTTCACTCCCCTTCCCACTTTTACTCCCTCTTTTAATCTCCCACTACACTCAATTAAGAGTCTAAAAGTTCCATATTTAATTTTTTGACTCCTAATGTGTAACCACTACAAATGGTCTTACAGACTACCGTTTAGACTTTAGACCATATGTGCATATATTTATTAAGTATTTAGCTATTTTATTAAGTAGAGAAGTTCAGAAGGAGAGAACACAAAAATGATTCACAAATCGGCGGCGAGGCCTTCGGAGTTCGGACTCAGTGCGGTTGCTACTTCAGTAGTTCAGCCTGCTTTCCTTCTTCTGCATTTCTTCGAATCTGCTACTGCTTCGGAGTATGGACATGCCGACGGCAAGTCGGCCACTTGGGAATTGAAGTTGGGATTGCGATTGCTAAATACTAACAGGTCTTTTTTATTTTGGGGCCCTCTTGCCATGTGAGGCCCCAGGCAGTTGTCTTGGCTAACTGGCCCCAAATCCGCCACCGGTGGTTTTGGAAGTTTTTCCTAACCCTTCAAAATCATTTAAATACTCAATTTTCAAGTTCCTCAAATTTGGAGGGTTTTGAATGATAATTAATGAAATGATAATTTAAGCTCAATTAAAAATGAATGTCAATTCAATTATTTGAATTCATCTTATTTCAAAGTGATTTTAATTATAATCTCTTCAAAAGCTCTCTTCCTTCAAATTTATTACTCCCAAATATAAAGAAGAGTTTTCTCACATTCCCCTTCTTTCCCCTCCAATAACATACCTCCAAAGCCTTCCCTTCCTCTATCATCCAAACTCCCAAATAGGCATGGCAATGGGTCGTGGCGGGTACTGCAAGATCCGGACCCGCCCCGCCCTGCCCCGTGATCCGCACGGGTCCAAACTTGTTGACCCATGACCAGGGGCGGATCTACCTTCAAATGAGTGGGGGCACATGCCCCCAACAACATTTTCATAATTGATTAGGAGCAACATTAATAAATACATATTCCTTTGTAAAAAAACAATTTGCCCCCAATAAATTATTTTGCTTGCCCCCAATTAAAGATAGTTCCTACGTAAGAGATACGGAGTAGAACGTACGTATGATTTAGAAAACAAATTCATTACTAGATTCGAATTTAAAAATTCTTAATTAAGTCAAATTAATCTAGTACTTCGTTTTTATCAATTAATTCACCGTTCCTTAAAAAGTGAAATGCTAGTTAATTACAAAGTTATGCTCAAGTCACCAGATATTTTATACATTGACATTCATAATAATTGGACAATGTGTACCAGCTAGCATTACAAAGTAAGAACTAAGAATACATATATATTACGGAGTATATATTATTCTATTTATCATATTGTAAAGGTCTAATCTTAACAATTGCAACAAACTTTTGTCAAAAAAATAAACGCAACGAACTCGTTCTTTTTTCAATTGTATCATTAACTTTTAAACGGGATTTTAAGAAGGATTCTGTGCAATGAAAATTGATGACATGATGGAAAGATAATAATATAGAAAAGCAGGAAACATATTACAAAAATATGAAAATACTTTGTTCTTGGTAAAGTTTATAACCGTATAAAGAATAAGTGTGTTTAAAAAATCACAAAAATAAAGTGGAAAAAAGAAAACTAAAGGGTGTGAATATTTTTCTTTTGGATGTGCTTTCTAACCTATTATACGGAGCATATGGTCTATCTTAAGGCCAACACGTGTGAACTAAAATGAAATTCAACCATGTGGCTTCTTCCTTGGGAGCGATTTAATAAGTACATAGGTTATTAGGCGATACTGTAAATCATCTAGGTTAACAAGACGTAAGATATCGGAGTCTATTCAAATCTAAGAGCCCGTTTTGTAACATTGAAGTTGGCTGAATCGACTGTTTCTATTGATATTTATGAAGTTCT